TATATAAAATTCAGCTAAGTCCTTACAATGGACCTGATGGGTTAGCAGAAGGGCTGGTTCCTGAAACTGGGAAAGCGTTGAGTAGAAGAGGCCACCATAAGAAGAGCAGCTTCTTTCTGTTCAGGGACACAGCCCACTTATGTGACTACAAGAGACGGAGTGATTGTCTTGACCTCCTACCTGGACTTCCTACTGGGCAAACCCACCTGGACACCAGAGGCAATGGGCCCTTCGATGTAGCCCATACAGATCAGCTTGGAGAGCAGGCAGGAATCAGAGTTCTGGGGCATGGAGAAGGTGGAAAAAGGATTGGATTTGGAAGGAGAAGGGAAGTATCTAGCACACAGAGGCATAAGGCCCGAGTCAGGATTCCTGGGACACTGAACGTTTAGGGGATAAACACAAAGAGCGCATGGTGGGGACTTATTCATGCCACTGAATGTCCCAAACAGACTGGAGATTAAATCCAAGTCCTACATCCTTGGTGGCGCCCTGGATCAGCTCCTTCCAGTCTCTTCAGTTTCTTCAGCGATCTCTTTGATTCTGTGAGCCATTCTCAAATGGACACAAGGACACAAAACCCAGGCTCCTCCTGCCTCAGAGTTGTCCCTGTTGACTGCACCTGGAGAATTCTGGTTGGTACTAGTTTCGTATGGATTGGTACTACAGCATGGGCTGCAGGCCATATAGGTCCCCAACAAGATAGAATAGAATGAATGCAGCAAGATTCCATGAACATTCTGGGGTGAAAACTTAGCCGTCAGTGGTCCACAGCTAATTAAATAACCAGTAGTTGATAACAAGGACCACTTGACAACAGACGTGTCTGCTGGAGGCAGGCGGTTGCTGCCTTAGGACAAGATAAAGGGTATGAAGAATTCCAGAACACTGGAGTAGAATGGGTGCTTCTGATGACACCGAATAACTCAAAGAGAACAGAAGTTAAAGGGAAAAACTCACATTTGGTTCTCTCGGTTATTGAATTATGAAGGCTGTCGAGGTCACAGCTTCAAGCCAGTCTCTTGTGTGACAGAGGCACAGTGTAAGAGTGAGACTCCAATTGGAAAAGGCCTGAAAGACCCAAACCCTCGGGTCCTTCTGAAAACTCCCCACTGCCCATCCCGTGTGAGAGGAAGCCGTTCCTTCCTTGCGAGAAGGGTGCTGAAGATTCCCTTCCGTGTTACGAGGCCAGTAACCAGAATTCAACTCTATGATGCCCCAGCAGGTGTGGGTAGGTATGTATGGGAATCAGTGTAGGGGAGAGAAGGCATTTTTTTTTCAATATATGAAATTTATTGTCAAATTAAGAAAGCATTTACCTAGGAAAACATATCGAAGGAATTGGGCAATTTCTATCTGTAAAGTCTCTAAATATTGATGAGTACCAATTTTAAGGCACTCCATCAGGGAGGGAGAACATAATTTTTAGAGAGGATTGTTTCACTGAAGTGCATGCTGTTACCAGAGATGACATCATAATTGTGCTATTTCTCACAGCGCCGTATATTATAGTTTGCTGTGTTGGCTGAAGCGAAACTCAATTCGGCCTGGTTCACATTAAAGAATGGTGAGAGGCCAGAAATTCCTTGATGCGATGTAGAGAAAGGAATTCAAAGCCTTTGGGAGATAAGAAATCATGTACCTACTGCCGCCCTTTGCCTGACTCCATCCTTTGAGAAGGCTCTGAACGCTTGCACATCCTCAAGGTTTTGAGAAAGCACTAGAATGTTTAAGAGGCTCTCTTTAAACGCGTAAATGGGCTCTGTAATCTCAGTGACGAGAAGAGAGTTCTAGGGAGCACTCAAGGACCAGAAGCGTAGTTCTGCATGATAATCAGAGCCGAGAATGGTTTGAACTTTCAAGATTCTGTGTCTGTGGTTCATTAATCAAGGATGCTTTCGGGACATTTTTCATGCCATCTGGCTGCCTGTCCTCCTTTCTGGGGATTTACACATTGTGAGTTTCACTTCCTCGAGGCGGAAGCCAGGCCTGACTTTCGTAGCCTCCTTTTCAGCCCAAGCGCATCCAGGCCAGGGCCACTGGTGGGAGCTGAAGGATACGTGCCACAGTGGGGACACGGAGTCCTCCTTGGAGCAGTCCCGCAGCCGTGGTTGGGCCACTGTTCCTTGTCCCGGCTACGTAAGCCCTCAAGCCATTTCTCTCTTGCCCTTCCAGAAACTCTGTCAGCCACTGGATATCCTTTGAGATGTTCATTTCATGCTTGAACTAGAGTTGGTTGTTGACAACTAAAATATCAGGACTGGTTTGGGGTCTCTAGGAATCAAATTGATAGGCAATGGCTCAGGTCATTTGTATCATCAAATGAAAGCTGGCTCTGATGAATAGGGTTAGAGAATCACGCCTGCTTATCACTCCTCAGTCCTCAGTCAGTGCTCACACCCGGGATCTGTGAATGAGGGGAAGGCCGGGATCCTTAACCGGGGATCCTATTACAAACACCGAAAACCACCTGCCATGAATGTTCCTTCTAGGAATCTCCAAAGAGACCTTAGGCCATTTACAGTGATAATGTGCCCTCATAAAAGGAAAACACAGAAACTTTTGGGAACCTCGGGCTACTGACTCTGAGTTAACACCCACGCCCCCCCCCCCCGCCGCGCCCGGCCGGGGGCCCCAAAATGCTACGCCGATCAGACTGGAATCCTTCAGACCCAGTGTTGGGTAGAAAAACTGTCTCAAGGGAACACGCAAAGTGTAACACAATCTGTCTAAACTCTTCATCCCTATCCGGAAACATGCAAGTGAGCAAAACAAGCCAGTGAACCCTGGATAACTTAGCGAGGATGTACAGAGATGCTTGAGGCCCATGGCGGGGTGCCTCCCTGAACAGATAGCAAAGAGTCAGATTTTGGTGGACATCTGTTATTGTCAGCCACCAGACATCCGTTCCCCTAGCCGCTCTCTTGTGACACCCCTCAATTTCCCTTGGGGAAACGACCCGGCCTGCTGCAGCGTTTGATGAGATGTTCAATTAGCCACCCTTACCTGAATGCCCAGAGCTGTTCTGATGTCAGTGCACTCCAAGACTGGCTCTTTAACGGTCCCTTTGAGTCTGTGAGCTAACCCAGATCCTTCCAATAAATTCCCTTTGGTTTAAATTTGAGTCAGCTTCTTTTATTTGCAAAGAACTCTAATAATATACAGTGGCATCTATTCTCAAAGGGTTCCTAGCCCCACCAAGGAAATGAACATGTAAACAAGGATAAAGGTGTGAGAAGGGCAATAAACAGGCAGACACAGAGTACGATATTAGCGTAGAGGAACTCCCATCAGTAGGGACAAGGATCACGACAGCAATAGGTAGAAATGCAAGGAAAGTTCCTTGCGTAGAGTGAAGGACAAACAACACCCTCGTAGTGTCTAAACACCCCGTGCGTTTTGGAGACCACAAGAAATTTAGCATGTGGGAACGTGAGGTTCAATGGAAGCAGCCTCTGGAGAAGCGGAGGGGCTGGAGATCGATCCAAGCCTGGCCATTTCATAACAGCGAGTTTAGTTTTTATCAAGGGTGAAGCTGTGGTCAGAATGGTGTTTCAGAAAGATCGCTCTTTCGAAGTAAAGAAGGGAAGTGGGCTGGGAGAAATCGGAAACTCATTGGACTTTGGAGTTAGACTGGGTTCAGGTCCTGGCCCTGCTACTGACTCCCTCTATGACCTTAAGCAAGTTCTTGAACCTCTCTGAGGCTCATATTCATCATCTGTAAAATGTGGTAACAAGAGTATCTACCTCCCAATGAGTTGCGTGGATTAAGTGATCTCTGTAAAGTTTCACCATAGGGTTGGGCACATGGTAAGTTGCTAACGAAGTTAGCTATTATTGGCATAATGATGACAGCTTGGGAGACCAGCTGGGGTCATCGCAATAGTTCAGGTGAGAGTTGATGGAGTTTTAAACCAAGGCAATAGAAATGAGGGCGGAGAGCCCCTAAATGTTTGTAAATACACTGCGTCAGTTGAGTGACTGGCCATTCATACAGGGACACTGTGAGAGTGGCATGGGTACATATCAATAATGATATAGGACCACAAGCATACATTGGGGAGCATGGCCACCCTTCACATTAGCTTGTTCTAAGTTCTGCTGCTAGACATCCCTCACCAGCACCAACACTGCTCAGCTTGATTACAGCAGGCTGGAAGGAAATTTGTTTGGTTTTTATTTTTATTGCAGATGAAAAGAAACCCACAGACACTGGGCATACTCCCAGCTCGTGTCTTTTATGATCCTCTTGAGCCAGGATTTATAGCTCAGCCCACCTGAGCGTGCACAAGGGGAAGAGGGGCACGTTCTTTCTCACTCTGTCACTCTATTTCCTATCGTGTGGACTCTAGAAAGGTGGGTCCTCTAGCCTTGATTTGCAGACCCGTGACTCAAACACCATGCCAGCCTCAGTGGGCTTCCTGTGTCTCCGGAATAGGGCTCAGTATCTCTCCCACACTGTCCCTCGAGGCAGGTAACTTGTCTGTTTGGGCCTCTCTAATATGCCCAGCATCAAGCACAGTGCCTGGCACCTAGAGGGGGCTTGATTAATAGTTACTGAATATTGTGGTAGTGTTGTCCACGTGAGTATTTGCCATTTGTCCAGAGGCTGGCCAGAGCTCCTGCCCCACCCCTCATACACACAGATAACTGTGTCTTCCAGTTTGCTTTCATTAGGCCCGGGCTAGGAAAAGCCAAATCCGTTAGGACTCCTGGTCACTGGTGGTCATCGTCATAGTTGGTCGGCATCATTGTCAAGATTTCTCTCACTTTGGGTTTGCAGCAGCCCTGCCTCTGTTTCCCCCTACCCCCCTGAATGAGGAAGTTGGCTTTTTCCTCAGGCCCGTTCCTCTGGACTGGACTTCTTGGCTCTGCTTGGCTGCTTTGGGGTTCCAGCTGAGCAGACAGAACATTTTTCCCATTTATTTTCCTAAGGGGTGAGCTCCCGTTCCTAATCGGTCCATCCCCAGCCTGAAGCCCTGCAGAGCACAGCCCGTAACAACTAGGAACTCACTTGGAGGTTTATTGGTGGAAGTACAAAGCACTGTGTTATAAGCACCCTCATACCTCTCCCACGGTCTTTTGGCCCACAGTGGGAAAACAGCATCGATAGGAGATTGTAGCAAGCGCACTGAAGGAAGCTAGGGAAGATCGCCCCGTTCTGGATAGGTGTCAGGGTCCAAAAAAGTTCTCTCCTAGGGAACTGGCAACAGGAGCCTGCAGGAAGTGCTCATCTGGATTCTCTTGTTCCCAGAGGCTGTGGCTCAAGGCAGCTCTCATGGGTATTTTCAAACTGACTGGAGATGCCACCCGCAAGGGGGTCTTAGAGCTGTCCAAATTGTCTATTTTGATGGCGAGATTGGTGTTACTGTGGGAGCCCAGGAATTTTGGAGTCATCGAAAGCAATAAAAGAAAGAGAAAGCATTGTTAAAAGTTTAATTTAAAAAACGGTTTCTAAATTGTATATTTTCCAGTACAAGTGCCTTGAATGTAGATGCGGATGTGGGAATGCTGGCCAGGGACGACACGTATAAATGGTATGATATATCAAGAGAGACTTGGGGACGCCTGGATGGCTCAGTTGGTTAAGCGTCCGACTTCAGCTCAGGTCATGATCTCACGGGTTCATGGCTTTGAACCCGTGAGATCTGTGTGCAGACAGTGTGGAGCCTGCTTGGGATTCTCTCTCTCTCCCTCTCTCTGCCCCTCCCCCACTCGCATGCACACGCTCTCTCACTCTCTCTCTCTCTCAAAATAAATAAATAAACATAAAGAGAGAGGGAGAGTGACTTGAACAAAGAAAACCAAGCAGGAGGGAGGCTCTGGCTAAGGTCTGCTCTGCTGGAGTGGAACAGACACCCCTCCAAATCTTAAGCACCACTTTTATGTGGTGAGAACCTAATTTGTTAACTAAGACTCAAAGGCAAGACCTGAGCCCCGTGGGATCTGCCTGATGCCCACTATAACCTGACAGCTATCAGCATAAGGAAAAGAAAACCTCACGACAGTTCTCCAAAACAGTAACAGCTTTGAAAAAAGTTACAGCCACTGAATGTGCCTAGAAAAACACAGAGTGTGGCTAACATTTTTAAAAATTTTGATTCTAAGTGAAATACATGGTTATTTTATTTTATTTTTTAAATTTTATTTTATTTTTCAACGTTTATTTTTTGGGGGGGGGAGGGGCAGAGAGAGAGGGAGACAGAGGGTCCAAAGTGGGCTCTGTGCTGACAGCAGAGAGCCCGGTGCGTGGCTTGAACTCATGACCTGAGCCCAAGTCAGACTCTTAACCAACTGAGCCACCCAGGAACCCCCGGTTTGTTTTTTGTTTGTTTTTTCATTTAAAATAACCATGTTGGGGCACCTGGGTGGCTCAGTCAGTTCAGTTGAGCATCTGGCTCTTGATTTTGGCTCAGGTCGTGATCCCAGGGTCGTGGAATTGAGTCCCGCACCAGGCTCCTCACTGAGTGTGGAGCCTTCTTGAGAGTCTCTCTCTCTCTCTCTCTCTCTCTCTCTCTCTCTCTCCCTCTGCCTCATTTCCCTGCTCTCTCTCTCTAAAAATTAAAAAAAAAAAAATGAAAACGAGGGAAACCACAAAAAAGCACCAAATGGAAAATAAAAATCACTCACACTGCAACTATTCAAAGATAAGATGCGATGATTTTTTAAGTGAAAATAAGTTTAGTTATGTAGCCAGAGCCTGGCAAAATGGCCAAATAGTCTACAAAATCTTTGCCATAAAACACCTAGAGATTCTAGATAAAATATAATCACATAATTTAAAATGTATTGTTAAGCCCACAAAAAGCAAAGAACAATCCCAGGGGTCAAAAATTAAAGACTGGCAAAGTGTGGGCTGAAGCTGGGGGTGCCCGAGGGACTTGCCAGTCTTGGTGGCCCTGGGCTTAGGTTTTACCCACTTCAGTTTAGGCCAACATGAGTCCCACGGGTAAAGGCCTGTTTGAGAAAGCTCAGGATAAAAAAAATTCCAGCTACAGACTGCTCCAAGACCCAGACGGTTATCTTGCGTATCTGTCCATATCTGTGTACGAGGACGCACAGAGCAGCAACAGAGCATCTGATGTATCTGAAGACAGGGGAGCTCCTATTCCCCCCACAGGTTCTCAGTGGAAAGTGCCCGGGACAGTTTGAGGAGGAGGAAACTGGAAGTAAGTGCAAGGGCTCTGGCTGCGGTGAAGTCGGAAGAGGCTGGAGCCCTACATGCCTTATGGTCTCTTGAAGCCATCGGAACACTCTCTCTTGCAAGACACAGCCTCACACTAAGGAAAAGCCACTGGAAACGGGGTCCAAATTGAGTAGGACGGGAAGAATAAAAGCAAAGAAAAGAGAAAGATCAGCTAAAGACAGGAGAGAGGATCACAGCCCTAGAAGTGCAAGGCCATCAACACTTCCCAAAAGCCACACAAGAGGGAGCTCTAGAGACCAAACCAGAAAGCAACCTGGACTGACCGTCATTCCCAAAGGTTCAGGAAAATCATTTTCACGTTAAAAATAACTGTCGGAAAAGGACAGTAATCAAACGCCACACAAAATTATATGAGAAAAACAAAGTATATGAAGCATACCAAATACTTACAATGAAAGCACACTAAAAAGATATGCCTGCAAAACAAATGAAAAGTACAACCTAGCATTTCAAAATGAGCTAAAAGAAATGAAGAAAGTGATAGACTATATGAGGGTGCCACCCAAGTCAGAACTTAAAAGATTTGTAAATGGGGTGATGAAACTGAGGAGAGAGTCAAACATTTTTAAAGAAACCATTATTTCCCCAAATGAAGCCTAAACCAGAAAGAATACAGGAGCAAACAAAGCAGACAGTGCCTTAAGAGGAAGAAAAGAATAGAAGGAGAGCTTAAAGAAAGAAAAAGAGGGGCGCCTGGGTGGCGCAGTCGGTTAAGCGTCCGACTTCGGCTCAGGTCACGATCTCGCGGTCCGTGAGTTCGAGCCCCGCGTCGGGCTCTGGGCTGATGGCTCGGAGCCTGGAGCCTGTTTCCGATTCTGTGTCTCCTTCTCTCTCTGCCCCTCCCCCGTTCATGCTCTGTCTCTCTCTGTCCCAAAAATAAATTAAAAAAACGTTGAAAAGAAAAAAAGAAAGAAAAACAGAAAATGACAGCTCTATTAGACAGGCAAAGATGAGCCAATCTTCAAATAACAAGAGTATCCAAAAGAGAAACTTTTGCATTATAATTCAATACAACTATCTTGAAAGTAAAACAAAACAAAACAAAACAAAACAAAACCCAAGAACCACAAGGCTGGAAAGCACATATAAAGGCACGCAATGACCTGGGAGAGCAGCCTAGCATGACCACCACGGGGACCCTGCCCCAGAGGGAGGCTAAAACAGCACTGAGAGAGAGAAGGGGTGTGGAGAGTCCCTTGTCTAAAGCGGCTGCCTTTTCCCCCTGAAGCTGAAAGAGAGGGGGCTTCCTAGGATCATCCAGAGATTTTGAACTGGGGCCCCCTGGAGGCAGGGGTCCTCGGAGACCCCGTAGGTAGGGACACAAGTCCTGAGCAGGAAATCTGAAGGGCGGGAAAGATGGAAGAATAGGTCTCTTGGGTGGAGGAGTGAAGAGGAGTCATTCCTGTGTCCAGGGGCTCATCAAAGCCTGAGAGGACGTTTCTCGAGGGCCAGACGTGGACTATACCTGAGACAGAGAGAGCCAGCCTGGAGCCATTGTAAGCCCTGCCCAAGAGAACGTCCTTACAGCCAGAGCCCCAGGGGGGTGGTGGCTGGAGGAAAGGAAGGTGTCAGAGCATCACCAGAGTTGCAGTTGGGGATGAGCGGGGTGTCAGGTGTGGGACTTTAAAGAACCCAAGGAAGCTTCTAAGAGAAAAAATTAGCTTTAAAGTTAGGAAACAGGGGGTGCCTGGGTGGCTCAGTCAGCTGGGCATACAGTTTCTGCTCAGGTCATGATCTCACAGTTCATGAGTTCGAGCCCCGTGTTGGCCCTGTGCTGACAGCTGAGAGCCTGGAGCCTGCTTCGGATTCGGTCTCTGTCTCTCTCTGCACCTCCCCCGCTCTCTTTCTCTCTCTCTCAAAATATAAATAAACATTTAAGAAAAATTTTAAGTTAGGAAACAGAAGGAGAAGAGGAGTGAAAACCCAGTGCCCACCGCGAAGGGCCATCTTAACATGAGGCCAGACTGAGGGAAGGTGTGAACAGTTCAGGGTTTTGGTAATTATCAGCCACATTTTAATTTCAGAATTGATGCTTCTTTTTCAGTTTAAAGGGACCAGAGGACCTTTTATATTCTAAGAAGGAGCCCATATGCTTAGGGGGCCTGTCAGAGAATCAGCTTTTATCTAAGGGCAAGAAGAAAACTCCCACTGAAAAAATTATAAAGGGAAGACAAAAATAAATTTACATTAAAAAAACTTTCTTAGTGTTTATTTTTGAGAGAGAGAGAGAGAGACAGAGACAGAGCACAAGCGGGAGAAAGGCAGAGAGAGAGGGAGACATAGAATCCAAAGCAGGCTCCAGGCTCCAAGCTGTCAGCACAGAGCCCGACGCGGGGCTTGAACCCACGAACCGTGAGATCATGACCCGAACCAAAGTCAAATGCTTAACCGACTGAGCCACTCAGGTGCCCCCAAAATAAATTTACATTTTTTTTTTAATTTTTTTTTCAACGTTTATTTATTTTTGGGACAGAGAGAGACAAAGCATGAACAGGGGAGGGGCAGAGAGAGAGGGAGACACAGAATCGGAAACAGCCTCCAGGCTCTGAGCCATCAGCCCAGAGCCTGACGCGGGGCTCGAACTCATGGACCGCGAGATCGTGACCTGGCTGAAGTCGGACGCTTAACCGACTGCGCCACCCAGGCGCCCCATAAATTTACATTTTGATGGTATCCTGCAAGCTATACTTGTTCAATGTGTCGATTGGGTGATCTTGCTTTTGTTTTCCATCGCTCGTTGCACAGAGAGTCTCATAAAATTAGTGAATTAGTAAATGGCTTTGGAGCCATGTCTGCTTTGGGTTACTGTCTATTCTGTCCATTTTACAGAACAGATAAGTGAGGTGAAGAGAACTCAGAACTGTCTTACCCGGGGGACCCTGGTGAACCGGGTTTGGAGGTAGTCGATATGGAGCTCCATGAATCGGCCTGATCAGCTCACCCTCCTCTGATAACTTACCCCTCGTTCTTTTTATTGAGCACCGTCTATGAAAGCACTGCAGTTTGCCTAGGGAATATTCAGACCCAACAGCCACAGACCCTGTTTTTGACAGGCTTATAATAAAACTGAGGGGAGAAATCATATGCATAATGGTCTAGAATGAAAAGAAGGAACTGAGGTAGTTTGGCCGAGGGTGCCACCGTCCCCACCCACGGCTCAGTGCTGCGGGAAGGGATGCCGGAGCTGCCTGCACGGAGGACCCACCTGTCCGCTGTGAGCTGGGACCTCCCTGTGATATTCGAGAAACTGTCACTGGTCTGCTCGGCTGTCAACAGCATGAAGCTTTCGCTGGGCTGGGCGGATGGCAGGAGGCTGCTTTCAGGCTGGGTGGAGAAAGTTACAGTCAGATGACCAGGTCTGCCTGGAGTTCTCAGCCTCCTTGGGCCAGAACCTTGAAGGGGCTCAGCCTTGAGTCTTCCAGCCTCGACCCGGAAACCTGTTCCTTAAGCATCAAGCCCCAGAATCATCAGAGCCCAACTGGGCCCTGGCAGGATAACGTCCTCTCTCTGCTGGGCTGCCAATGGCTACTGTGCCTGAACATTAAGAACGAGAGCAGCAGGGCTGGGAAGCTGACTTTGGAAGGCAGTGATAATAATACGGAAAGGCCTTCAACTGAGACAAGAGGAAGAAAGGGTTTTAGGTTCTGAAATCTGAAGGTGTTAGGCAATCCAGCCTATCGATCTCTTTCTTTCTGTGCTTCTACCCTAAGCAGGTCCTGGAAAAGCCTTCTCTGTGTCAAAAGGGGTGGGGGGTGGGGAGCCTCAAATAAACTGAGAGGAAAAAGTGAATCCTTGGGGGAAAGGTTTACAGACACTTGTGATTCAAGGGTTAAACTTCTTGATACATAAAAAGCTTTATTTTACAAACCAGTTTAGAAAAAAAAACACAAAATGCCAATAGAGAAATCGCCAAAGCGCACAAAAAGACTGTATAATGATGTTCAAACTCATTGAAAATCAAATGGCTGTTACTTTTTCACCTATCATACTAGAAAATTTATTAAAATTTATGCTTCGGGGCGCCTGGGTGGCGCAGTCGGTTAAGCGTCCGACTTCAGCCAGGTCACGATCTCGCGGTCCGTGAGTTCGAGCCTCGCGTCGGGCTCTGGGCTGATGGCTCAGAGCCTGGAGCCTGTTTCCGATTCTGTGTCTCCCTCTCTCTCTGCCCCTCCCCCGTTCATGCTTTGTCTCTCTCTGTCCCAAAAATAAATAAACGTTGAAAAAAAAATTAAAAAAAAATTTATGCTTCTCTATTGTGATAAGGACACAGTGACAGACACTCATATTACTGGAGAGAGTAGACTTTGGCATGAGCTTTCTGGATATAATCTGGCAATATGTATCAAGAGCCTTAAAAATGCTCATACCCTTTGAATTCTGCTTCTAATAATCTATTCTGAGAAAACAAGCAGAAATGTGGTCAGTTCACACAAATGCTTGTTCTAGCATCATTTACCATAATGAAAAGTTAGAAACAACTCTAAATGTCTGGTAACAGGAGAATGGCGAAGTAAATTTTAATTCATTCACACAACTACTGGAACGGCATGAAATTATCAAAATGATGTGTATGAAGAGCTTTAAAAAGAAACGGGAAAATGCTTCTGATATAACCTCAACTGAAAAAAAGCAACATTCAGACATTTATTATGTATTGAATATCCTCAAATATATAAATGAAAAATTAATTTAAGATGGAAGACTGTCCGGACCCCAAAACCGTATCACAAAACCATAATCACCATGACAGTACGGTACTGGCACAAAAACAGACACTCAGATCAATGGAACAGAAGAGAGAACCCAGAAATGGACCACAAACGTATGGCCAATTCATCTTTGACAAAGCAGGAAAGAATATCCAATGGAATAAAGATAGTCTTTCAGCAAGTGGTGCTGGGAAAACTGGACAGCGACGTGCAGAAAAATGAACGTGGACCACTTTCTCACACCATACACAAAAATAAACTCAAAATGGATGAAAGACCTAAGCGTAAGATAGGAAGCCATCAAAATCCTGGAGGAGAAAGCAGGCAAAAACCTCTTTGATCTCAGCCGCAGCAACTTCTTACTCAACACGTCTCCAGAGGCAAGGGAAACAAAAGTGAAAATGAACGATTGGGACCTCATCAAAATAAAAAGCTTCTGCACAGCGAAGGAAACAATCAGCAAAACTAAAAGGCAACGGACGGAATGGGAGAAGATATTTGCAAACAACACATCAGTGAAGGGTTGGTATCCAAAATCTATAAAGAACTTATCAAACTCAACACCCAAAAAACAAATAATCCAGTGAAGAAATGGGCAAAAGACATGAATAGACACTTCTCCAAAGAAGACATCTGGATGGCCAACTGACACATGAAAAAATGCTCAACATCACTCATCATCAGGAAAATACAAATCAAAACCACAATGAGATACCACCTCACACCTGTCAGAATGGCTAACATTAACAAGTCAGGCAACGACAGATGTTGGCAAGGATGTGGAGAAAGAGGATCTCTTTTGCATTGTTGGTGGGAATGCAAGCTGGTGCAGCCACTCTGGAAAACAGTATGGAGCTTCCTCAAAAAATTAAAAATAGAACCACCTTACGACCCAACAATTGCACTACTAGGTATTTATCCAAGGGATACAGGTGTGCTGTTTCGAAGGGGCACATGCGCCCCCATGTTTATAGCAGCACTATCAACAGTAGCCAAAGTACAGAAACAGCCCAAATGTCCACTGATGGATGAATGGATAAAGAAGATGTGGTATATATATACAATGGAGTATTACTCGGCAATCAAAAAGAATGAAATCTTGCCATTTGCAACTACGTGGATGGAACTAGAGGGTATTATGCTAAGCGAAGCTAGTCAGTCAGAGAAAGACAAAAATCATATGACTTCACTCATATGAGGACTTTAAGATACAAAACAGACGAACATAAGGGAAGGGAAGCAAAAATAATATAAAAACAGGGAGGGGGACAAAACATAAGAGACTCTTAAATATGGAGAACAAACAGAGGGTTACTGGAGGGGATATGGGAGGGGGGATGCGCTAAATGGATAAATTATTGTTGCACTATATCTTAACTAACTTGGATGTAAATTTTTTAAAAAAGTGATCTAGGGGAAAAAAAAAGATGGAAAACTGTTAAGAAACAAAACAAATAAGGGGCGCCTGGGTGGCGCAGTCGGTTAAGCGTCCGACTTCAGCCAGGTCACGATCTCGCGGTCCGTGAGTTCGAGCCCCGCATCGGGCTCTGGGCTGATGGCTCAGAGCCTGGAGCCTGTTTCCTGGTTTGCCACCACCCCCTGATTTTTATTTGTTTTGTTTCTTTTTAAAATTTTTTTAATTTTTTTTTTCAACGTTTATTTATTTTGGGACAGAGAGAGACAGAGCATGAACGGGCGAGGGGCAGAGAGAGAGGGTTAAATGGGTGATGGGCATTAAGGAGGGCACTTGTGATGAGCACTGGGTATTGTAGGTAAGTGATGAATCACTAAATTCTACTCCTGAAACTAATACTACACTGTATGTTAACTAACTGGAATTTAAATAAAAAATTGGAGAAAGAATAAATATATAAACAAGCAAACATTAAAAAAAAAAAAGAAGCTGGCAAATTCAATCTAGCCTCTAACGTTAAAGAATAAATGTTTTCAAAGTTTCAATATATTCAACAATGTGAAAGCATATGCAAAATTCTTCAGTTGATATTAAGAAGACAGCATAACTCTAATGCCAAAACCTAATAGAGATCAAACAAAAAAAAGGAAAAAAAAAATACATAAAATGGAAGACTGGAAGGAAGTATGCCAGAATGTTCCAAGTGATTGCTTGGGGTTGGAGAGAAGTAGGGGTGATTTTTCTGTGATTTTCTAATTTTCTTCAGTGAGCATTATTCCTTTTTTAAAACTTAAAAACAAAAAACCCAACAGAAAACAATTTTTAAGTGAGATAACCACTTTATAGCTCTTTTTTTTAAGAAAAAGAAATTCGTTTGCTTTTTATGTTTGTAGACCCCAGTTTGATGCGTGTGTATCCTTGGCCCTTTGAAAACGAAGTCTGCCCCTGCAACACCAGACTTTAATGCCCACCAATCCTCTAAGGAGCTGGGCTTCCCATCCCCCGTCTCGCTGCAGGTCTTGGCGGGAGGCCCCACTTACCGTTATTTCGGTGGAGCTGTTGGACATTTTGGGCACCAGGCAGTGCGTGAATTGGATTCTTGGGTCTTTGGTGGTGATGGACAGACCTTTCTGCAGAATTTTCACCAAGCGGATCCAGAATTGAAATACGGCCTCTGGGTGGTGTTCGTGGAGCCTCAGGTAGTAGATCTTTTCAGTCACTGTCCTAACCCTCAGGATGCGTTGGAGCCGGTCACAGATTTGTAGCTCCACAAACTTCAGGGGGAGAATCCTGGACACAATCGGGAAATCCCCACAGCAGAGGGGCCCATGCATTCAATCAATCATGCGTGCCTACCTAGAGCCTGGCCCCATCTCACTAGGCTCCCGCCTCTGCTTGGGGGATGCCCATGGGAGAAAGCTCACGGTCTGGGAGTGGGAATGATTACTAAAACTAACTCTTCTCTGACTTTCAGGGCCTTCATCACTAAAGAACCTGCCCACATCAATAACAATGGCTGATAGACGATGTCTAACCTCTCATTCAATCCTCACACCCTGTGAGGAAAGAAAGGTATTTTTCATTCCATTGTACAGATGGTGAAACTGAGGCTCAGAACAGCTAACTGATGTGCCCAAGTTTAGACCACATTAAGTAGGAACTGGAACTCAGGTGTTCTGACCCTATTTCCATCCAGATCTCCTCCCTGTATCCTAGTTAACCTTGCTGAGACAGTAAGAAGGGTGGATGTGTCCTGTACATCCAGTATTTTTTTTTTTCAATTGTAACACTCCATAATCCCATCTGACTTTCATACCCCTCGCCTTTTTGCGGGGGAAACCCCCTAAGTCTATAGTGACAATATAAAAGTAAATAAAAGGAAGCCAAGATCCTCAAAGACTAGGCTGAGACAGAGACCAGGGCTCTATAACTTCAACAAGCACAGTGTCTGGTATATCCAGATACGAAAGACATCTTTTTTAATGAATGAATTCTACACTTTATACACTATACATCGTGTATACACATAGCTTATATACTGTCCTTTCTTTTTATCTAAAATCCAGCTGCAAAACAATGCGGTCATCCCACCCCTTCTGCGGCCTTTCTTTACCTGCTGAGGGTGACCACTGGAGCACAATCAGGTGAGCTCCAGGTGGAAAACTGACCCTGGGGCCAGGTGACGTTGGCCATCAGGAGGATGTTGGGGAGTGGCAAGGAGGCCACTGAGGAGGTCACCCCGAGGATCACAGTGGTAGAACCTTCATAGACATCCATCCAGCTCCCGGGCTTAGTGACCTGGAAATCAGCCCAGGTACATGGGTCAGGGAGAAAGAGGAAGGCAAGGGTGGGAGAATACAGGTGCTGGAAAGCAGCACTTTAACTTGGGGACATGCTCGGAGCAAGTGTGCGGCACACTGGCCTGGGCAATGACCAGCATCCATCCTTTTTGTGGGTCTCTCCAAATAGACCAGCTCATTGGCGACAGGAAACTGTGTTGCCCTCCTTTGCATCCTCTGCATTATCCAACGTTAAAGGGATGCATTAGTAAGAAAAAGCTGAGAGGCATTGACATTTTATTCCCCCATCCTCGGGTAGAAGCAGCCAGCACAGGTTTCCAATGATCTGGAAGGGAGATTGTGTAAAGAAGGTTCCAGAAGGGGAGGAGAGTGAGGAAAGAGCTAGTGAATGGGGCAGACCCAGGCGGCCCAGCTTGAGGGACGACTGGGGAGCTTCCCACAAGATGAGGGAGGGCCCGGCTTGTTGCTAGATCTCGTGAGAACCTGTTCTCTTGCAGCATCAGAGGCAGCCCAGGGAGACTGGATGCTTTGCACTGGGCACAGTATTTCAGCTAAGACACACCTGCCTCACTGTCCAGGGCGGGCAGAGAAGCCTCCAAGGAACCACAAGGACCAAGGTAAGGTAAGGAACATTTGAGGAGTGACCGACCAGAGAGCCTTCTCCCAATGTTCTAGACTTTGTAGGACCATTGACACCATTTCACAACCATGGTGGAGCCGGGGACAAGGGGAAAGCCCCAGGAATAACTGAAATTTCAGTTCCCATACACCTGACTAGATGGTGCTCCTAAGAAAAGTCCATTTTCGTTTTGAAGGAAAAAACAAAAACAAACATTTCTTGGAGCCCACAGTGCGGAATGACATTCACATGCACTACGAAACACAGGGGCGGCACACATTGAGAGTAAGTGCTAAGTAAAGGTTTGTGAGTGATGTTTCTTCCAGGTGATGGCAGAGAGGTGATACTGAGGAGGGGGGAGAAAGGGAGCCACCTAATTGTGTGGGGTGATTCCTTTCAGGTCAACTTTTCACTCTGCCATGGGGCAGCTCCAGCAGACAGGCTTTGCCCTCCCCGGAAGAGTCCGAGTTTCCTGCTGCATGAATCACTAAGTGTCCACCCAGAGAATCTACACAGTTTTAATAGCAGGTCAAAGAGAACAGAGTAAGAGAATAAACCTCCTGCCAAAACCTCACACCCAGATAGAAATGACTGGAATTCGCTATCCCGAGTCTGGATCTGCCACGTCCCTGCTCTTCCTCCGCTGAGACTGTGTTAGGAAGGAGCACGCCCGCGGGCTGCCAGCTGATTGCCCCACTCTGCAGCCCCCTGGGAGCAGTGCAGGAACCGGGGAGCACTCGGAGCGGCGAACCAGCTCTTTGAAATCTGGGGGGCTCCATCAGGGAGTAGCTTGCTGCTCTGTGAACGCGTCTTCTAATTGAGCTCAAATTGTCTCCACTCTCTCCTGTGACTCCTCACTGCTTTGTGACCCCATCACATGGATTCCTGAGCACAGACCCTCCCTATGGGTTCTAGCCTCCCACTTTCACCCAGGTAACTGAAGTCCCTTGGCCTGCAGTGTCCTCCCTCTGCTCCTCCACTTACCAAAGTCTTAGGGATACCTCCAAGAAGGGCTTCACCTCCTCCTCTGGGGAGCCTTCTTCAACTGCCAAACTCCAAAAAGTGTGCTGAACTCCCTGGACACTAGCACCCTTCTCTCTGCTCGTGCTTTAGGGATGAGCTGGTCCAAACCACCTGCCAGAGCTTTCTTAGCAGTGACCATGTTATTTTTTTTTTTTAATTTTTTTTTCAACGTTTTTTATTTATTTTTGGGACAGAGAGAAACAGAGCATGAACGGGGGAGGGGCAGAGAGAGAGGGAGACACAGAATCGGAAACAGGCTCCAGGCTCTGAGCCATCAGCCCAGAGCCCGACGCGGGGCTCGAACTCACGGACCGCGAGATCGTGACCTGGCTGAAGTCGGACGCTTAACCGACTGCACCACCCAGGCGCCCCATCAGTGACCATGTTATAACATGCCCTTTAAATTGACAAATTCATGAGCTCCTTGGCCAGGGATACCGTCTGATCTCTCTTTGCATCTCCTGCCCCGCACACAGCACACAGCACACAGACCGTGAGAAGCTGGTCATGCGGCACTTGCACAGGAGCACAGGTATGCAGATCCCAGCTAGACTTCTAGAGGGAGGTAGGTGGGCAGGCCCTCAGTAAGATGTCACACGCACTTTTTTTTTTTTTAAGGTAAACTCTACCCCCAACATGAGGCTTGAACTCATGACCCCAAGACAAAGAGTCATATGCTCTACCCACTGAGCCAGTCAGGTGCCCCAAGATGTCATATGATTATCCCATACTCCCAGTGGCCTCATGCTTCCCAGGCCAAAAATGCTAACTTCCAATGGCCATAGCACCGCCTTTTAGGGGATGTAGAATCTGGGCAAGGCCGATTCTAGGGGCTTGGCTGTCAAACAAGGCTATTTCTAAACCATCCCACGGAGAGGAGGTTGGATTTCAGAGCAGGGATTCTAAAAACAACCTTCATTCCCTCTAACCAACCATTCCTTCCCTAGTGGCCCATGGACCCTGCCTGGAGGGTGAGCCCTGAGGTCCCCTTTTGCAGTTTGTAATTCTATTTCCTGAAAGCATATGACCTTCAAGGAGCCCCATCATGCTGTAGGCACAAACTGAGCTGAACTTGGGATCCAGACCCTCTGGTTGTCCCTAGCCATAGCAGCCTCCTTCTCCTCCCCAGGGCTTTCAGAGGCCTTTTTGGACCAGCACTTTTGGACCAACCCTTAGGAACAAGTTCTGGAAAGCGAAAGAAAGTGGGTTCTGAGCTGCACACAGGTACCTGGATAAAGTTGCTTTCAAATACCACCGAGTCGGAGAACAAGTTGAATTCTGGAGAATGAATCAGTTGACAAAGAAGGCCGTCTTCCACCCCCAGATCCACTCCAGGGCCTGGTTCCCTGACCTCAGGTGGGAGGCCCCTAATTTTACTCATCGGTTCTTGGGAAGAATGGGCTGGAGAACATCTCTGGGGCTCCACTCAGACCCAGCCCAATTCCAAGGTGTTGGTGTGACCACTGCTCCCCCCAACCTCCACAGCTCCCCCTCCCCTCCTGACTTACAAGCTGTCCACCAGGCCAGGGAGGGCCTGTCGGCTCACAATGGCAGGCATGACATCAAGGAATGTGATGGGTAACAACAGGAAAGGAAAAAAAGAAGACGCAAGGGAGGATTGGGGATAAGCAGAGCTTTTTTCTGCCCTTTCCTACGCACTACAAACTAGCAGTAATAGTGGTCTATTCCATTTTTCACTCAGTTTCTCTGCATACATGAGGAAAATGCACTACGGTTATGGCAAGAGAGTGGTGAGCTGGCCGGAACAGCAAGGCAGTTTCTCCAGAAACCCACAGCCTTCAATCCTCCCCCCAGATGGCGAAGCCCCTCACAAAAACTTTATCTGTGTGAATTCCCTGAAGTCAGGCTCTCCCCGGGCCAGAGGAGCTCGGGACGAAGACGAGTAATTCACACCAATCTTCCCTACCTTGTTTCATGGGAGAAAATGAGAACTTTTTGGAAACACCGGGCTGTTAACAAGGCAAAGAGGCTTATTTCTTTGGGAACAGTGGGCAGATGAGGAAGTGCAGCACAGTGGCATGCTGGAGCCAGCACAAAAGAGACCCGTGAAAACGATTCGGACTTTCAGGCGTTTTACGAGCCATTGTTAAACATAGCCAATAGTAAAAATTTAACTACGGAAACTTACACTTCAACAAATTATACAAAAGCAAAGGTAATGACCCAAACTCACCACTTCTTAATTGTTTTACTATATTTTACTACTCTCTATACCCTTGAGGTTATTTACGTCGATTGTATCTACAGGGTAGAAACACTGTGTGATGCTGCACTACCTCGTCCTATCTTCAAACACTGTGTGATGCTGCACTACCTCGTCCTATCTTCTCGGGGTGTGTTGGTCACTTCATGTTGGTCACTATCTTGAAACCAGCCATGTTCGGAGTTATTTACACCATGGAAATCAATTAAGCCTCGATTTATCGTTTTGTCGGCTGCCTAAAGGGATAAAGGGGTGCCTGGATACCTCAGTTGGTTAAGCGTCTGACTTTGGCTCAGGTCATGATCTCACGGCTCGCGAGTTCAAGCCCCTCGTCGGGCTGTGCGCTGACAGCTCAGAGCCTGGAGCCTGCTTCGGATCCTGTGTCTCCCTGTCTCTCTGCCCCTCCCCTGCTCACACTCTGTCTTCTGTCTCTCTCTCTCTCAAAAATACACATAAAAAAAAATAAAGGGATAGAAAAAATGTTGATGTAAATTGCGTGTGGCTGTTGCTGTCATATTGTAGGCACACAGAAAATCTGAGGAGTCTCAGTAGCTTTCAGTATTTGAAAGCTATTATCTGATTTAGCAAAGAAGTTGCCGAAGTCACTGATGAACGTGTAAAGTTCCAACATACAACTAGGTTAATTCACTTTCATCTTACTCGTTAATGTAAGTGGAAAAATCAGCCAACATTCTGGTCGGAACTGTACTTGTCAGTTGCGTTGGTTGGCTAGGAATACAAGAGTTTGACAAAAACCAGTGAAAGATTTCTGTGAGAATCAATTGGCTATATGAAACGTACAAGAGCACTGTGTATTTTATTGTTAGTTGTAAATTGGGTGCTATACGCACTTTACGTCAGTAAAACTGTAGAGAAAACATACATACTTATATGTATGCATATATGTACATATAGATATATACATACATATATATTACATAATTATAATGATATGATTATAATATATGACTAATTATAATGTATGTTAAATTGTAGTTATAATGCATATAACACTATACATATCGTATATATATATGTAATAATAACATGTGTATGCATGTATGATTATTATTTTACATATTATATATATATCCCCACTCAGAGACCTGGTGTGAAACATTTACTAGTGTACCATTTAGTGACACCAACTCCTCCCCTCCCCTTGCAATCTCCTATCTTTGGTACCAGGAGAAGAAACTTCCACTTAAAGACTTCTTCAGGATGCATGAAGTTGAGGAGGAGTGAGTCATTAGTTATCCTCTCAGACTAGGACTGGATAGCTATCAGGCATTCTCACTTTGGTGTTTGTACAGGAGCAAGCCAAGGAGGTAAGTCGGTTCTCTCATGTCTTTTAAACCCTCAAGACACACGGGCATAATCCTCCTGTGACCAGAGTTAAATTTCCTGGTGCTTCTCTTAACATAGGGTGGGAGGCCTGCTTCCCATTGGTATTTTTCCAAACCTGTTACATCTGAGGCAGAAGTTTGTATCGTAGTGGTTTATTTCTTTTTTTTTTTTTTTAATTTTTTTTTCAACGTTTATTTATTTTTGGGACAGAGAGAGACAGAGCATGAACGGGGGAGGGGCAGAGAGAGAGGGAGACACAGAATCGGAAATGGGCTCCAGGCTCTGAGCCATCAGCCCAGAGCCTGACACGGGGCTCGAACTCACGGACCGCGAGATCGTGACCTGGCTGAAGTCAGACGCTTAACCGACTGCGCCACCCAGGCGCCCCGGCTTATTTCTTTTTAAGACTTGCTCATCGTGGGGCACCTGGGTGGCTCAGTCGGTTGAGTGTCTGACTTCGGCTCAGGTCATGATCTCACAGCTTGTGAGTTCGAGCCCCGCGTCAGGCTCTGTGCTGACAGCTCAGAGCCTGGAGCCTGCTTCAGATTCTGTGTCTCCCTCTCTCTCTGCTCCTCCCCTGCTCACACGCTGTCTCTCTCTCTCTCCAAAATAAATAAAGATTAAAAAAAAAAAAAAAAGACTTGCTCATTGGAAGCGAAAACTAACTCTTACAATTTTTTTATTGATGCAAAGATTATAATAGTAGAAATTCAAATATTCAAACAAACTTCAAGGTCATTATTTTGGCTTTTTTTGCATTATTTTACTCTCTGTTCTTGACATTTTTTCTCCTTTCCTTATAAAAGGTAAATGTCCATCAATAGAGCACCAGTTAAATTATGATACTTCTATATTAATGTTTTGCAGCCATTAAGATAAGGCAACTTTACATATACTGATATGGAATGATTACTGAGACCTATACAGTTAGAAAAAGATGAAAAACAGTATATATAAAATGCTATCACTTGGGTAAAAGGATTTAAAAAAAGGATATGCTTGAACATGCCCAGATCATTTCTGGGAGATAAAAATGTAGGGCATTGGTAATGGTGGTGAAAAAAGGACTTATTTTTCACACTTTATTTTTTGTACTGTTTGAACTATTTACCATAAGCAAGTGTTTCCTTATTAAGTAAATTTTTAAAAGTGGTAAAGAAATTTCTTGTACATGGCTCTACAAATATTTGCTGAGAAGCAACTATGTACATAGTATGCTACATACTGGAAGAATCATTATTAGCTCTAAAAGTAGTCTGACCAGAGTTGTGGACATGTGGTCAGGGCTGTATTGAACATAACTGTTCACTTCCTGAGATAAAGACATATATTTGAATAAATACGGGCTGGAAGACTTCAAATATATAAAAACCTATAAACCTACATCTACACAAAGAGTAAGCAACCACTAGAAATTCGAAATACATGAGTAAACATTTTAATATATATACACAAATAATTTTTGAAGTTCTTTAAACAAAAATTGAATATTTAAAAATGGTAACAATGTAGGGGCATCTGGGTGGCTCGGTCGGTTCAGCATCCAACTCTTGATTTTGACTCAGGTCATGACCTCACAATCATGAGCTGGAGACCCATGTCCGGCTCCATGCTGAGTGTGGAGCCTGCTTAGGATTCCCTCTCTCTCTCTCTGCCCACGCCCCACTCTCTCACTTGCTCTTTCAAAATAAGTAAACATTTAAAAATTTTTAGGGGCGCCTGGGTGGCGCAGTCGGTTAAGCGTCCGACTTCAGCCAGGTCACGATCTCGCGGTCTGTGAGTTCGAGCCCCGCGTCAGGCTCTGGGCTGATGGCTCGGAGCCTGGAGCCTGTTTCCGATTCTGTGTCTCCCTCTCTCTCTGCCCCTCCCCCATTCATGCTCTGTCTCTCTCTGTCCCAAAAATAAATAAATGCTGAAAAAAAATTTTTTTTTAATTTTTAAGTGATAATGTAGTATGAAACATTAGGTTTAGAACATGCATAGAAGTAAAATATAAGACAAAAAGGAACAGAGGATGAGAGGGGGAAATAAAGGTGTGGTATTGCAGGGCTTTGGTATTATACCTGAAGTGATAAAATACTATTTGAATTTTTTTTTTTTTTACATTTATTTATTTTTGAGAGACAGAGGGATGCAAAGCGCGAGCGGGGTAGGGGCAGAGAGAGAAGGAGACACAGAATCAGAATCAGGCTCTGGGCTCTGAGCAAGAGGTCAGCACAGAGCCTGATGCGGGGCTCGAACCCACAAACTGTGAGATCGTGACCTGAGCCGGAGTTGGACACTTAACTGCCTGAGCCACCCAGATGCCCCGATAAGATACTATTTGAAGTCAGACTATAATAAGTTAAAGATGTTTGTTGTAAATCCTAGAATAGAGGAACCATTAAAAAAATTAAACAGAGATCTATAGCTAATAAATCAATAGTGAAGATAAAACAGAACACTAAATAATTCACAATCCAAAAGAAAGAGGAAAAATGGAACAAAGAACAGATGGGAAATAGAAAATAACAAGATAGAAGATTTAAACCCAACCTTATGGATAATTACACTAAATTTAAATGGCCTAAACATTCCAATTGAAAATCAGATATTACCAGACTGTATAAAAAGGAGGGCGCATCGGGGTGCCTGGGTGGCGCAGTCGGTTAAGCATCCGACTTCAGCCAGGTCACGATCTCGCGGTCCGTGAGTTCGAGCCCCGCATCAGGCTCTGGGCTGATGGCTCAGAGCCTGGAGCCTGTTTCCGATTCTGTGTCTCCCTCTCTCTCTGCTCCTCCCCCGTTCATGCTCTGTCTCTCTCTGTCCAAAAATAAATAAACGTTGAAAAAAAAAATTTTAAAAAGGAGGGCACAACTAAATGCTATCTGCAAGAAATCCACACTATATAAAGACACATA